ATTGGAGGTTTGTTGCTTTGCTGAGCTGTTGAGCTCACTCTTGTTTTCTGGTGGTTTTCAGGTTCTGGAAAGGGAAGGAAGTCCAGGAATAGATTCAGAGTTTGATCAGTATAGGTATTTGTTTGTACCTTTTGATTTTTGTACAGTCATGGCTTTTCTGTTCTGTCTTTCTTTCTGTTCAAAAGCCATGTACTGTATTTGTAGATGATTGTTTTGAGGAAAAGAAAGAGAAATATAGATGTTTTATTCCGCTGCATTTGGTGACTTATAGTAGCTCTGTTATTCTGTGTTTGTGTGTTGTTTTGAGTTAATTATTTGGAAGATTCAGTTCAGTAACCAAATTCCAAAGCCAGATCCTGGATAAAAGGTTTTGTCGCGGCCCGGTGTGAACGGGATCCGTCCCGGATCGGGTCGGGTCGTGACAAGTGTAACTTATAGGACTAGTCAAGTAAGGGAAGTAAACCTTGGTCGGAGTTGTGGATCAGAAGATTGGCACCATTGCGATCAAGACAGTGTCCGAGCCTTGATATGAGGAGGATTAATGTTGAAGATTCGCAATGTCAGGAGTTAGGTGAGAAGAGGCACCCAAGTCAAGAACCTATTTAGAGGTTGAGTTTGAGGCATTATGAGAGAGCATGGCGCGAGGAGACGAAGAAGTAGTGGGCGCATACTTGAGGTTACATCTATGCCAACAGTTTAAGGCGGAGTGACCGGATTTCCCATAGATTTGACATGTTGGATGATTGGAGGTGGTCTTCGTAGATTGCGAAGATGAAGATGCCAAAGATTTTAGTTGGAACTGGATGGATCCGTCGAACATGGTGTTTCTCCGGTGAGGTGACCGACAAAGTCGTTGGCGGAAAAGTGTTGGAGAATTTGAAGATGCCAAATAGTGTAGGTTTCGGAAGAGAGTTGGGTGGGAACGAGGTTCTTTAGATTTGAGATAAAAAATTTTAGAGATGCCGGGATGATGAAATTAGAGAGTAGCGGAGATGTTGGAGGCGGGAGGGAGTGAGGCTGCTGAATCCATGTCTGTCATGCCTGGCTCTGATACCATGAAAGACCTACGTGGTCTGGTTGACGTGTAAAAGCGTTAACACTTTTTACATCGATCATAAGCAAATTTAGTTACAAAAATGCTTTTACAATAGAATTTTCAACCAAATAAAAAAAGGAAAAAATTGTATTCAAAATAAATGTAACGGCTATATATTTAATGGTTGAGATTTTTTTTATAATTTAAAATAAAAATATACGAAATTAATCATTTAGAATCTCGTCTCTTCTTATTAACTAGCACATTCTCTTGCACTACCAGCATCAGTGCTAACACATTAATTTCTTTAAAATGTTATGTAATTTTTTTTCTTAACTTGACTAATATTTTCTTACTATTTTTCTATTTTGTTATATATATATATATCTTCTCACTCTATCTATAAAAGGGAGTTTTCCTTATTTTTTTTAGATTTGTACTTGTTACAACTGTTTTTGTTCTCTCGCCCAACTTCACCTTGTAAGTACTATATAGACTGTGCAAAGGAGTGCATGCTTGATGCATCAATCTTAAAACAGTTGGCACCAATAGCCTCGGTTGTTTAGCCTAAAGCTTCCTCAGCATGGCTGCTTTACCATATCTCTCTTCATCTTTTAAACTAAGCCTCTATCTCTCTCTCTTCATCCCTTATACAAAGGAAGATATAGATATATCTATAGAGAGAGAGAGAGAGCGAAAGAGAGTGCCTTGATCTTGGAGAAAGCAAAGTAGGACCAGATTCCTTCAGTCATATGGACCCATAAGCAAATGTTGGGGTTCTGAGGGTGTTTAGGGCACTTCAACTTTTCTTTTGGCCTTTAATGTCTTGCTATTTCTGACTCATGTGTGTTCTCTTTTCATTCTCTCTCTTTCTCTCTCTTTCTTTCTTTCCTTTTTCTGTTTTCTTCTTCTTTGTTTCTTCGTTTCACTGCATATAGTCTTCTATGACTAGAATCCGGTCTTAGGTTTTTCTAACGAGTTCTTGAGAGTGCGTGGGTTTTAGTGTGATCTGAGCTTCTTTTCTATTCAATATGTCCTCTCTCTCTCTCTCTCTCTCTCTCTCTCTCTCTCTCTCTCACTCTCACTTCTTCCCTCCCTTATATAATATACTTACATGTGCACGCTGAACTGTCTTATCTAGAATTTGACAAGCCTAATAAAGAGAAAAAAAGATAGAGTAAAGGGATCATTTGAGCCAAATAAATAGAAAGAAGATAGATTAGAGGGATCATTTGATTCAAGTCAGCCAAAAATCCACCAAATAAATTCAATATCATCCCGCCTAAGTTCAGTGTTGTCTCTCAAGTTTTTGATAGCTTGTAATTTATGTGCAAAAGCTTTTTTTTTTTTTTATGTGCAAAAGCTTGCTGCTTTAAATATATATATACAAAGATGTTGATATTTTCCCGATTACATAACCGTTTCTAAACAAGAATTGAAAGAATTATTTTAACAAGAGTTGGAGCATATGCAGGGAAAATTATGAGGTATGATCACTTTCTTTATCTGCTAAGTTTTTCTTAATTACCTAAAAAACAATTCGAATTCAGATAATTAAGGAAATTACGTAAAAACACTAACGACGTAGTACTATCTCATTAGTATTATGCATTAAAGTCTCCTTCGAATTCAGAAAAGCAAATTAACTCCATTGACAACATACAACAAAATGTCAGAAGGTCCAAACAAAAAAATCATATATACAGCACAGCATGAGCAGATATGTGGAAATATCCAGTGGAAGACGAGCAGAAAGGCTTGAACTTGTAATTAGAAATAACAAATTTTTAGAACATAAAACAATTCTACTTGAACAATTAATGAGATGTGTATTGATGAAATTACTACAGACAACCAAATTCAGAGAATTGTATGAAGTTATACATTGTAATTAACAGAAAAAATTATCTTGTAATTGAAACAGATAGACAGAAATATTATCTTATAATTCTGAGAAATAATACAAATATGATATATTTTACATTAAGTCTAATTAACTTAGAATGTCATCATCATATTCTTACAGCAAAAAAAAAAAACAATTTAAGAGGATATGTAATTAAGCAAATAAGAGAGAAACAGATCAAAGTTCTTAATTTCTCATTAATTAGCGTCTCCTTCGAATTCAGATGACCAAATTAACCACCCAATTTATGTCATCATACTACAAAGCTAGATAACATAAACATGAAAGAAGAAAATACACCAACCCATATTGATTAAAAAAAAAAAAAGCAAAATTAGCTAGAACAAAAAGAAAATAGAAACCTACCAAATCTAGTAGCTATATAGCCATCACCTTCCCATCAAATGTGAAGTATTTATCGCCGTAATTTTCTCGAAGCCATCTCAAAAGTCAAGCTCCCAAATTCCATGTTCCATACCGTTACCACTCTGATCAACATCAGCATGAACCAATGATTGATGGATTAATCATCTTTTTACAACAAATTTCCAGTAGAAGAAGAACTGAACCCGGAAAGATGTTCGCCACTAATCCATCTACCTCCATGACCTTCACCGCTGCCGCTGTCACCTCCACCCGGCCAAATCTGCCCATCGTTTCTCCCCACGTTGAAAAATTGCCTTGGCATGTTAGCAGCTGTAGTGGCGGCAGTGGCAGCGGCAGCGGCAGCGGCTTGTGAGCTCTCTTCCATCTTCACTGTCGACATGATCTTTCCATGTCCACCACCTAATTCCCCTTCAAATGGGTATAACCCTGGAACCATCGCTGCCGTTGGCAGCGATGGCTCGACCAATCCTCCTAAGAAGGGGAACTGTTGAATCCTCCACTGCTCCAATCCCATGTTCTCTTGCATCGTGTGATCAATCGGTTGTTGGATTCCATGAGGAAATCCGTAATCCGGAAGGTGGTGCCACGGTGCAAGGAATTGCGGTGGTGCTGTCCGGAAAACGCCAGCGGCGGCGGAGGAAGTGGAAGCAGATGGAGTGATGGGGGCCGGTGCCGATGGCTTACAGGAAGAGGATTTGTTTCCACGCTTGTTGCGGCGGCATCCGCCACCGACCGGGACGCTACGGAGAGCCCCGCCTCGTGTCCAATAGCGGCGGCAAGTCTTGCAAAAGTGACGGGGTTGGGTGAGAGAGTAGTTGTTGAAGTAGCAAAATTTGGTGTTGGTGGAGTCGCAGCGGGGGCACTTGAGGGCGGCCTCAACCTGGGGGAGTTTTGCAAGTCTGGCCCTTTCTGCCATAGATACCACCACAGGCTCCGGGCGAGAAGTATTTCCTCCTGCTGCCACTTGATGTGGTGCAGGGCCAGAAGCAGCCGCCTCATGGGACTGTGGAAGCTGATGAACATCTTCTTCATCAACGACGATGTTATTTGATCCTTGCTGCAAGGAAGAGAGGTATATATGACTTGAAAATTTTGTTTAATAAAGTTGTGAAGGAGAGAGAGATGAAAAGGAGAGGGATATTGTATGAGAATATCTTTGCTTTTGTGAGTATTGTTCTTTATGTGATGAAGAAGCTGAGGAAGGGAAAGGAAGAAGAGGGATTAGGGCTTACCTGGTTCCAGTTGGGTGGATCTACATAGAGAGGAGCGGATGAGAAGACCATGGTTGGTTTTCTTTACACAGCTCGATCTCTTTCTTTTTTTTTTGCAAAAGTGTGATGTGTTTGTGGAGATGGTGGAGAATCAATCCTCCTTGATCAAGAGGAGAGAGAGAGAGATAGAGAGAGAGAGAAAGAGGGAAAGGAAGAAGAGAAGAGTGAGAGAAAGGGAGAAGAGGAAAGGAAAAGGAGGATATTAATCTCTTTTTCTTTGTGTTGAGCCTTTATATTTTAAGTAAGAGAGAGGGGCATTCCTTAGCCTTTAAGACAATGATCATGGCTTGGTTGCTCAGTGGTTGCTGCTTATTATGCTTTAATGCTGGATATAAAGTTAATAATGTTTAATTAATCATGCAAGCTACAAAACAAATGAGTAAAGTAATGCTTAGGGACGAGGTGATCATTCCATAGTGCTGTGATTTTGCCTCTTAATCATTTTGGTTGAATTGTTTTCTCTAATTATGTCGAATATGGTTTAATTTTGCATATTTAATTTTTACTCTCTTGGGCTAATTTTATTAGCCTATACTGAGCTTCATCTTTAATTTGCATAAAATATTATGCACATATTTTATAAACACTACTAAAAATATGAGGTTTTCGCCGCTCTTTAATAGCGGCGGTGAGCAAATCAGTATTCGCAGTGAGTTTTCACCTATGCTAGAAACGTGTAAAGCTTTGATTAACTTGGTGTATGAAAAATATTTTTTTTTAGGGGAAACTCTCGGAGGGGCCTACGCGTTGAAATAATTCAAAATTACAAGTCCTTAAGGGGACATTCAGTCACTACTGCTCAAAAGAGCTACAAAATAAAATGAAAAAAAAAACCTAAGAGCCAATTGTCCCCTACTAATTCCTTTGGTCATTCTTGGTTCGGGTAGGTTTCTGTATAATCTTTGATGTAAGTGTTTTGGCTGGAAGTGGAGGTATTACTGGGGTGTTTTAATTGATATGAGTTGGGGGTGTGATAAGGTTGCTAATATGTTAATCTGGAGATTTTTGAAGGGTAATGAAAGCTGTTGTTTTGATGGTTTTAAGTTTGATGAGAACATTGAGAGAGCTGGGTTTTTATTTCTTATTTACTATTGTATCTTTCTAATGTTTTTTTGGAGAATTCTTTGCAGAAAATCCAAAAAGTATTGTACTTCGAGCTTAAAAGACTGCAAGGTATTCTGGTGTTCCTTTCTGCATTTTTTTCACTATTTTTGTCTCATTTTTTGCATGAGAGCTGAGCTGAATGCTACAACCTTTCTCCTCCTTTTTTGGGTGCTGTCTACTCACAGCCTGAGTGATTTTGATTTTGCTGGTTCTTTTTGTAATCTTAGGAAAAGGATCCTCCGGCTCATAGGAATTTTGTTTTCTTTTTATCATGTAGCTCTTTCGAGCATAAGAGAGCTGGAGGAGCCTTCTAAGGACTTTGTAACCGGGTTTTTTAAATTAACGTGTAGGCCCCTCTGTGGGTTCTAACTAAAAAAAAAAAAAAGTGCCTAGATACATTCTAAGGCGACACCGAAGAAGCGTCCAAAAAAGAAATAATGTTTGCAAGTCCCCATAGTCTTATTTATGCAAATCAAATATATTGCTCGTGATGAGAACTACTTTGATGCATTTAATTATTGTTTTAGAGTAAAAAAAGTGCTGCAAATGCCTATTTTAATAAAATTAAAATTTTAATTTTTATCAAACAATGTTTTTTCTTACCTATAAAATTAATACGTATTGATTATACATATATTTTTAAGTGATATGTTAGACATATGATAAACTTACTAAAGAGTACTTTTTATATATATATATATATATATATATATATATAATTGATCTAGTGTGAAGTGTATAATGCCAAGTCCTGGCCAGAGAAAAGATTGTTCTTGGCAGTGGGGGCATGGAGTGGTCGACGTCGAGGCTCCTTATTAATTCTTTTCTCTTCTGCATGGGATTGTAGCTAGAGGGGTGGAGGGCCTAGTGTTTGTGTCCATTTATGCCTTCATTTTTTTCTTTTTATTTGTTTTATTGTCATTTCCACTAAACGCTAAAGGGAAGGCGCTCAAAAGAACCGGACGGCACATAAAAGCTATCTCATTGCCTGTTGGCTTCTATAACTGGTGCTGTGCACACCGCTATCTCCTGCATATCACTGCCAGGTGGAAATTTTTTTCATGGTAGAAACTATAATTAAATTCTAACTATAAAAAATTTTAAGAGAATTGAACTTGTAATCAATTTTATTTAGATTGATTAATTGAACATTATACAAGATAATATTTGTACAAGATCGGATTCTTCACGTTGAATCTGTGCACACGAATAGCTCGTTTGGAACAGATGAACAAAAAGCCATAAAGCAATTGAATGGATCAATTCAAGTTAAATTAGCCTAGTTGGCATGTAGCATGCGCTTTATTGCATGCAAAATAAGGTTGGAGGTTGAGATTGCCTCACCATCGGCGTCAACACTACTAGCTAGTGGTGTAAGTCAGTCAAACTGGTTCATGAGACGGCTCGAACCAAGCTCGCTAATAAGCTCATGAGTTAACCTTATCAAGCTACGAGATGGAGCTTGAGACAACCCTTTTACTCGTTTGTTAATCGAGTTTCAGGTTGAGCTCTAGTAGACTTGAATTGAACACTACTTGAGCTAGCTTGAATAGTGAATTATTTAGCTTGGTATAGCTCTTAGAGTGAGTCTTCATCTCCTTTTTTCCAATGGTCAAAGAAGTAACATAGCAGTGTAAAGCCTTCTTGATCAAATTGGGTAAGAATGCTTAATCTCAAAAATGAATTCAAATAGAATATACTGCATTTACTTTACTTTATCTTGAATTTGCTTTTCATCCAACCAAACACTAAAAAGTGAAAAATTAATGCATTTATTTTACTTTGCATTCACTTTTCTTTCAACCAAACAACATCTTAAAGGATTTCTTTTATATATGTTTTTATTTGACACTTGTTTATTGATTAGAAAAATGGACCCAAAAGAAAAAAGAAAGAAGTATGAACTTGATACCAAAGTCTTTTCAGTAACATCTGAGAATATAGTAAAGTTTATCAATATGATTGCTCAAATGGTGAGTGATAAATTGACAAAAATATAGTCTGAATAGTGCTATAAGAAAATAAGTGAAAGCGGCGAAAAAAAAGATTGGCAAGATTATGAAAGCACTTGCCAAACTACAATACATTTAGTGTGTGAGAAGATATGTAGGACCCTGCAATTGGGTGATAGGAAAATGCTTTAGGTGTGGTGATTATAGGCACCGAATGGCAAAATATCCATTGTCTGGATTTGGGCAATGACATGTTCTGCTATAACCATTAAAAGAGGCTTCTGAAGTACCTGATGATACAACCATTTTGATTTTATTTTATTTATTTATTTCTTTATTTATTTTTCATGTTGAGCTTTTTTATGTAATTTCAGAATTTTTTAATGAGTTTTCGATATAGATTCTTGCATCTTGAAGTGATTTGATTTGGCATATTATAGGGCTTTTTTTCTTAAGCATTCTCTCTTAGATTGATATAGAAATGTAAAGACAAAATTTTTTGAAGGTGAGGAGATTATAATATCTAAAGATTTAAAGTAAACTTATTTGAAAAATATGTATAGAGTGATGTGGCACTGGGATGGAAAGCACTTCAGCATTGGCTATAGATAAGCAACAACACCAAAAAATGATGAACTCTCTAGAATTTATGGAAATTTTCAGCGTAGTGATGTCGAGGTAGTGCACCGATACAGCGCTATTCCACATGCAGCGCTGCGATAAGTATGATATCTAATTAGGGAGGAGAAAATATATAATAAATGCGAATCAGTATAATGAGGGAGATGAAAAGGATAAAGTTGAGGAAGCAAATGAGGAAAATGAGAATTATAATATAGTTGATAGGTAGAAAAGGAAGAAAATACCACAAGTTTGAGAATAAGTAAAAAATTCATTCTTCATTAAAAATTATTTAAAAAAAAAGAACTTACTATAAGATAGTGCGACTACACAATTCAGTAGTTATTTGAAACAATGCGCAGCTAAAATATGAACCATCAAACACAAGTGCTAATTTTTTAGCCAATTTATAGAGTTAATCCTACTTTTTTTCCCAACCAAATCAAAAGGGGCGTATTTCGACAACATTCAAATATGATCATATTAAGGTTAGAAATATGATATGATATCTAATTACATACTTAATCAATGATAAATCATTTTTTATTATTGAAGAATTTATATTTAACCTTTTATTAAAGGCTAACTCTTTGTATTTTTTAAAATACCAAGGGCTACATCATGTAATAATGACATAGCAGTTTAAGAAAAAGAGAAAAAGAAGCTTTAAGTAAAAAAATATAAATGGAGTTAGTTTTATTACAGATGAGTAAAATAAAGCTAAAGAATCAATGGATATTATATATGATTTTCATGGCACATTTTGTTGATTCTACTTAGAGATTAATTGCAGAATGAGCACTTAATTTTTACATTTAGAAAAATGAATGAAAAGTTTAATAAGAATTAAGGTGAATGCAATCTTTTAATTGCTTTTGGCACAGTTATAGGTCTAAGAATGAAGTTTGTTGTGATTAAATATGTATATCCTATGATATACAGTGGTGAGAAAAGTACCAGCAATGTTTTATATGTATGTAATTTGTTATATGTTATTTGAGAAGTATAAGTTATGGTATGAGCCAAAGATTAACATTTCATTTGGGACAATTATCTTATTGCTTTCAAAAGTAACTTTTTAGTACAAAAAAGTTTTGAACGAAAATTTTTTGTATTAAATAATAGAGCCCTGCATTGGGTACTCATACTTATACCCACCCACGTACTCACCCATATCCAATGGGTATGGGTGGGTATGGTCCGTATGGATACGCCCATGGCCTCATGAGTGGTTACTCAACATCGAGGGATAAAATGATTTATATTGCTAATCATTGTATGTCGTATATTATCGCAATTCTCACTATGCAATGCACAATTATGAATTGCGTTGTGATCACGGTAAATTCTGATATACAGCTTGAAAGTTTTCAGTCAAAGCAAAAGGTAACAAGCCTCAAGGCCATCAATCCACGGCAGACTACATTCAAAAAGTGGGTGGGTATGGATGGGTACGGCATCCC